GCGTACAGTACGTTGAAATGAAAATTTACAAAAATCGGAAATGACTAGTCATAATATATAGTACATTAGTAGCTATACCCGTTACCCAAACCGAAACCGAACCATACCAAAACTATAAAACTATAAATTTTTTGCCAAGGAAATAATTGAGATTTTAGGTTTCAGTAAGAGGATTAAATTAATCATCAATTTTAAAATAAGAGATTTATGCTAAGTATCGATCTATGATTTTAAAGGGAGGCATTAAAAAATAATAGGAAATGATGAATAATAATTTTTTTTACTATCCTTTAATTTAAAAATGCAGCAGCAGGTTGTTGAATAACTTCATTTTCTATATTTTCAAAAGGAACTTCAGGTTCCACATAATCAAAGCCATCCAGAAATGCACTTGACCTCCGAGCCGGCTCCAAGAAATCTTGTACACCCGATATATTAACAAAATAATTACTAGAATTATCTTCACTCAAATCTATGTTTATTAGTTGATCAAATTGTGCCATTGAGCTTCTGTTGGAAGTTATTGCGGTCGTTGGTGGTCGAATTTCAGCGTCATTATTGAGCGAATTTGCCCAACTTATACCAAGGTCGGTTCCAGCCGTAGAACGATCAAGTAAATGCCTTTTGTTTGAATCATAACGCTTTTTAACAAAAAATGCTTTCCTTAATAAAAAATATGAAGCAATTAAAGCTATCAATACGACTATTATAATTCCAATAATTATTATTACGCGAAAAGGTGAATCAGGACTAAAAGGATTTGCTACATTATCGCTGCCAGCTGTATCTGCAGCTGAATTGTGATTAGTGAAAGTTGGAGTTGATAATATATCTGATCGCGATGAGCTTGTTGGAATTGATTGTGTAGTTGTTAGGGATCGCGATAAGCTTGTTGGAATTGATAACATAGCAATATTTGAACTTATAGATGTCGTTTTTGGAGGAATAAATTTGAACTTAGCATTATTATTAGATTTTCTGTTCTTAGCATTTCTATTGTTCTTTTTATCACGATTTGTGCTATTGTATCCACTATTGCCTCTATAGTGGTTTCTATCTCTGTCGCTGGCATCATAATTGTTTTTATTGCGGTCTCTATCGTTGCCTCTATAATGTTTTCCAACACAGTCACGTAGTTTCGAACTGCTGGGAGTGCATGTCAAGACTTTAAAAAACATATCTAATTTTACTAAGCAAACCAAAGACTTAAACCCTTAGAGAATTAAAAAAATTTTTGCGATAATTTGGCAGATAGCGGATTAAATATCACAAACAGTGAGTGTATGAGAATAAACAATCGAATTCTTGGATATAAACCCGTCAAAGAATGGCAAATCCCCGATAATAGAAACAGGGTTTGCATTTTAGATATATGTTTGGTGTGACGAATTTAACTTATTTTGACGCTAACCTCTATAAAGTAAAAAGGATCACCAAATATATTTCATAAGAAATGTTTCACAAAATTGATGACCAATAATAGTTTCACATTTCGGTTGCTTTGTCTTTTAAGTCTTGTATTTATACCGAAGCATAATATATGCATTATCGATGTTAAAAATACAGTAATTATTATTGTTCATATGATAAAAAAATAAATTATAGCATAATGTTTCATCCAAAAATTTGAAAGATTAAAAAAGTATTCGATCTCTCGTTAACTTAGTAGGCTTAGGCAGTATTTTTTTATAATCAACATTTCTTTGATAAAAAAATTTCTTTTTACAAATTAACGTTTTCCTAAAATAAAATAGGGGTAAATTCATACAATTATTGGCATGCATTTCTAACCGTAAAAGAAAATGATGTCTAACCTAATTTTGGAATTTAGCGCTAGTAAAGTTAGAAAGTAATTTTAGATACTGTATATAACGCTAATATCAACCCCCCACATTAGCAACTCCCCTAAAATAAAATACGGTAATTTATAAACATTGAAAATCAAAGTCAATCTATGAAAATCGGTTCGGAAAATTGTATACTATGGTACAAGTCATTCTCATTATAGTAAACCTTCGTTATAGTAAAGATTGGCTTATAGTAAAGATTTTTTTAGAACGAAAGTATATTTTCAATATTAAAAGCTTTCGATATAGTAAATATCTCAATATAGTAAAGAAATTTTGGCAGCCCAAGAACTTTACTATAACAAGAGTGACTTGTATTTTGTAGGGAGTTGACATGTTGTTATTTCGGATATATGAAAATTACGCATTTGCTTTTTTAATTTATAGTAAGAGCATCGATTGGCAGGGAATAGCCGTGATGCTTTTAACTGCACAAGTAATATTGTGCTATATAGCTGATAAAGTAAAATATAATGACGAGGTGATCAGAATTGAAATACAGTATTTTGGTACTATTAGATTTGATTTGGTTTAATGAGACGAGTCTAATAATGATATCGATACCGGCCGAAGTCAGTAACTTATAGATTCGGTCATCAAGCTGTAAAGTATTTCATGATCTATCGATCGTACGAATTGGACCCTGATAAAATTGCTATGGTTACTCGAAATATATAGTAAAATTCCCCGGATAACCCGGATAATTTAATAATTCCGAGTATTGATTATATCAACGGGTCCAATTTGTAATCGAGCTGTTTCATAAATTCTTGGAACAACCGAAAATTTAGAAGATAATTCGGCCGATTGATAAGTCATCGAGTCGAAGTTAGAAACTTATAGATTCGGTCATTAGCATTGTTCATTTGTCAGAAATAATGTTTAACAGTCCAGTTCAGTTTGGTTTATTATAGTCTTAAGAATTAGCTGGTCCAGACTGGTGAACTGGTCTTAAGACAAAACTTCAGTTTCATCAGTCTAGACTAGACTTTTAAGAGTATATATATTTTATACTCTAAGCTTTTGTTAGGTAACAACCCAGCTGTTTTCTAGGACAGTTGATAAAAAATTTGTACCGATCATTGGTCGATTCGATAATTGATAAACAAATCGACCGAAATAATCTTCGATTAAGTTTTTTAGTGTCCCGGAATTTATGAAAATATCTGTAATATCCCCAGTCGGCTATCAGGTAACTTATCCATATCAGCTGATTTTTGGAATTGTACTAAAATAGATAATTTGACATTTTTCAATCTTTAATAACTTTGATGTACTTGTCTGTTTTTGATAAAACAACCACTAAAATGTTCGTCGTACGATTCTAACACCAATATCATCAAAATCTAATCATTGGATCACTAGATAATTCTGTAATTAAGGTTTATTGCAGAGGTGACACATCTGTAGGGTGAGGAGATTGGTTAGCCATGATCTGACCAATATCTCCACCCTATAGATGCGTCACCTCCGCAAAAACCTTGATTATCTAGTAATCCAATGATTAGATTTTGATGATATTGGTTGTTAGAATCGTACGACGAACATTTTAGTGGTTGTTTTATACATAAAAAGTTATTTAAGCCTGAAAATATGCCAAATTACATCTATTTTAGCACAATGCCAAAAATCAGCCGATATGCGACGACTGATAATCGTTTATGGCGGTTTGCAAAATTATGCGACTCCGTTTTTTTTTATATGTTACCATGTAGATTAGCAATTACTTTGATTGCCGTTACTATGATTACTAGGATAATTGTTCTATCATAATATACTGTATAATTACCCTAATAATCATAATAATCGGCAATTACAAGTGATTGCTAATCTACATAAAAAAAAAAAATCGGAGTCGCATAATTTTACAAACCGCCATAATCATTTGTTCAGAATTTATGAGAACAGCTGGAATTTGAAATATTTTTATACCATTTGATTCATCTCATGGAGATGAATTTACAGCTGTTTTTATAAATTCTGGGACACCTAAACAAATTTCTCTTTCCTGAAATCTTCTCGATTCCGTCCTAAGAATCAACCAACTTTTGGAAACTACGTCGCTGATCTCAGAACTTCAATCTAGAGACAGCAACGTAGTTCCCGAAAAGTTGAGCGATTCTTAGGACGGGATCGAGAAGATTTGGAAAAGAGAAATTTTTCAAGTTTCACAGCTGTAATTGTAAAAGATCTTTCAATTAGTGATCCTGACCGATAGCGAAAAAATCGGCTTAGCCGGTCGATTTTTTAAAAAATCGGTTAATCGATTTATTAATATAAAAGCGGAATTGCGACATTCCTATAAGTTCTGATGTGGAAAATGAACGAACTTAAAATGCGAGCAAGGTTCGAGCGATTTTTTTGGATAATTTACAAAAAATCGACCAAGCCAGCTAAGCCGATAAAAAACATTGGCTTAGTCATTGCCGAAAAATAATCGTCGGCCAGGATGTAATATTAATTTTTATTGAAAGTTATAAACCTTCATGTAATAACTGCGCAAAAGAGAAATATAATATGGAAGTCAATATAAAAAAATTGCCAAATTTAGAACTGTATGGAATCTTTTTCGTGTTGACAACTTTCCTTTACTTGATATATAATGATCAATTTACTTTGTACAAAAATCTGTTTTAAGTTTATTGTATTGCTAAATATAGTTACGTACTGTAGCTCACGAAAAGTTGAAGATATAACAAAAAAGTTTATCACAAAAACCAATAATTTATTCATATAATGAGATAACAATTATTGAATTACGTATTATTTTTTTTAATTAACTTATCAATAGATCTACTGCTTAATGAAACTCTTTTCGGACCCATATCAAATATTGATTTATCAGTTATATGATTAAGAAATTATTTAATTTATTAATTTTAATTTATTTTACACTTTACCATATTCCTATCCCAATTTATTTTGCACCTTTACTACTAACGCCAACAATTTATTTTGCACTTTAATATGGGATCTATGAAATGAACTGTCTATGAAATAAATTAATTTGTTTATAAAATATAATTTTCTGTAAATTGGTTTCTGTGAAATAAATAATATCAATATTTCACAGATTTCAAGGCCTGCTCTACTCGAATCTTGAATATTTCCTAATCAATTTTCAATTCTTTTATTTCCCACATAGGTGCTGTATATGGAAATCGCTATTCACACCATTTCAAGGATTATAAATGACTTGAAATAACTCAAATGACAAATAACTAGTCATTGGTCATTAATTGATGATCTAATGCCATTTAGCCAATCAAATTGATTATTAGGTAAATTTAATTTTTATAAAATATAATCGATAATAGTAGCTACATATAAAAGTCAAAATCTTACAAAGTTAATCGATATTTGCGTTTTAAGTAAAGTTGTTCAGGAGAATAAATTGATATATAATAAACTTTCATGTAAATTTTATGACATTTTTGTAAAACGTAAAACTTCATAAAAGCTATCAAAATTATATGAATGTTTCATGATACTGTATATAGAATTGTTCTCTCGAATAATTTACTTGAGACGCAAATATCGATTAGCTTAGTAAGATTTTGACTTTTATATGTAGCTACGATCATCGATTAGTGAATATTTTTTTATATTAGATATCTGACCAATAAAATTACCTTTATATAACCTAATGACCTAGTTATTATTTAAGTCATTAAATTTTGATCAAATGACCAGGTCATTTACCATCCCTGGGCCACCTTTTTGAAAACAACTGTAATGCTGGTCAAATCAGTTGCTGCAGCAAGACCCAATGCAGTGAAGGAAATCTGAAAAAAAAAATTTGTTTTTTGAGAATTATTGACTATAATAAATTTTAAAAATTTTATGATCTCTGAATGAGAACATAATTTTTAAATGTTATGTTCTCAAAAAGTTCTCAAGAAAATTGAGAACAAAAATTTTAAGTGTTTATGTTCTCAAAAATATTTTAATGCTCTCGAAAAAATTGATTTCCAACATTGATCTAATGATGCAGTGGCTTTGAGTCTGCTGCGACAATGGCATCGATCTACCCCGAACTTTGGGGGTACTGTACACTTCAATTAGCATATCACTACGATAGAATTGATTAAAAAAATAATGATATGTTAAGCATAGTCAATGAAAAGATTTTTTATTTATTTTCTTCTAGAAACTTATTCTTGCACTATGTCACAACAACGTTATTCTGTAAATTAATAATTTTGGCGTCTATGCATTAATTACAATGTTCCGTGATATCATTGTTTTCAAATAGTTGAATACGTAGCAATTTTATTTTTATGAAATTATGAAAAAATATAGTAGATTTGAAGCCTTTATCCATGTAGTGTAGAATTAAACAGTTATTAACATGTATTTGAATCAAAATATTAGGAAATGTATATATTATTTTATTATAGACAAATAGGAAGAAGCAATTCTTGATCTACCTAAATTGCTAATATTAAATTATTAAGTAACATCACAAAATGCCGAAGACATCCAGGAAAACTATTATTTTATCATTGAAAATAACCTGTCATAAACCCAAAAAATTCCAAGAAACGAATGGTTATTTTTCCAATTTACTCAAGAGAAGAAAGGAAAAATTAAACACAAAATACATATAAATATCAGTAATACATGTGTCATTGGGGTGTGATATATATAGGATAGTTGGCAAGCTGGCAAGGCAAACTGACAAGCTTGCCAAGACATAGTGACAAGAGTCTTGCCAAGTTTGCCAAGCTTGCCAACTACCCTAGATATATATCGTTTTGACCTCAATGACCTATATGGTAATTATTTGATTTAGTATGATTACATATCGGCCGATTTTGTTTTTTAGGCCCTTTTTAAATAAATTGTTACACGGAAGTTTTACTTTTAACTGACGTTGAAAAATAATAAACCAAACGCGGCATAATCAATAAAAGAGCTTTTCTATAAGAGATAAAAAGTAAATAAAAATAAAACAGCCATACTAAGCTGTAGAAAGAAGTACCATACCTTATTATTGAACGTTCAGGATTGGTTGGTGCATTGTAGTGACACAAATCGAAAATCGAAAAATCGATTAGTTGTCAACTAATCGATTGGAAATTTTGACAACTTATACGTAATAAAATAATCGATTAAAATCGATAAATTGACAACTAATCGATTGAAAATTTTTTGGCAATTTGTAACACTAGTGCATTGACGATTGGCCGAATAATGTCAAGGGTGGATTTGGAAGCAATTTTTTAAGAAAATGTCCTTTTAAACTTACTTTTAACTTATAATTAAATACGTAGATAACATCATTTTCTATGTATTTAATTATAGGTCCAAAGTAAGTTAAAAAAAGCCGCTCTTCTAAAAATTTGCTTTATTAAACAAATTTTATCTGGTTACATTGAACCGTGATTGGCTAATTTTGGGGTCTAATTAAATTGCTTGATATAATGAAAATATGAATGTGGCGCAGATTCAAGAGCATGTGTTAGGTGGAAAAAGAGAACATCTTAACTTTGAAAGAGAACATCTTGGTCTTAGAGAAGAAAAAAATTCAAAAAGTTTTTGAGCACATTATTATTAAAGGTATTTGTGTTATATATATTAATTTTAAAATTCTGGTTATATTCACTACGATTCTTGTTTTAGCCTGGGCACAAAATAGTGCAAGTCGTCCTGTAATAAGAGAAATTCGGGAATCTTTATATGGAGGAAAATTCACAATACGTGCTTCCTAAGAAATTTGATAAATCAGACCAAATTCCTCCCTTGTGTCTTTCAAGTAATACTCTGTCTATTGTTAATGACGATGGTAAAAAAAAACCAATCCGAATTTTCAGACAACATGATCACTATAAAAATATTGCCATCTCTCGATATTGTGATCCAAAAGCATAAAGAAACTGTAAAACTTTCGAATCCTGACTTTGAAAGTTTATGGAAATGGTTCGATAAGCATGCATCACTTGGAAGTGATTTAGGCAAATATTCGAAAGCTTATTATATTTATAAAGGTTATTTTGTGAAACAAAACCTCGAAGATGAAAAAAAAACTTTTTTAAGAAGAGCTGACAATGGTTTATGTGAAGCTCAGTTGAAGTATATGAAACTTTTAAGTTCTGAAAATGAAGACAAGCATGAAATATTTAAATATATAATGATGGCTTCAAATACCTGAAATCCTGAAGCTCTCTATAATATTGGAAAAGGTTATTTGAACGAAGCGTAATATTTGAAGAAAGATCTTGTCAAAGTCAAGGAATGTTTAGAATTGGCTGCCGTTAAAAATTACAAAAGTGCAATTAAATTATTGCATGATTTAGAAAATCAAGATGAAATAGATAAAGAATATGAAGGAGACTGAAGGGATATTAAATAACTATGTAAATATTTATCAAATTGAGATTTTAAATAAATACTGAAGGCTTCAGGTTGAAAGAGGCGTTTAGATTTAGCGAGTGGCATGATAAAGTTTCGAGATAACAATTCGAATTAGTCTGAACTATTTCGAGAGTAACTAATCTATAACTTCACCAATCTTCATTACTTCGGAACTAGGTTTATTGTTTTTAACAATAATTCTCTCTACAGTCACTTGTAGAAGAGTCAGGACGATTTATTCACAATGTATTAACAGTAATGACAAAATCTACTTTGTTCATTATGCCAAAGGCACTTGTATTTTTATAGTTAATAAAGTATTTACATTTTACATTTTAGCTAATCTTATAACTAATATAATCTATTAAATACATATTTATTTACTGTATGTTTTACTCACTACTTTTAACCAAAAAACCTATCCGATTGTTTGTTCGTCACATATAAAAAATTTGATATTATTTAAAAAAAATGTTTGGAATGAGGCCTTTGTATAATTTATATATATATTTTTTTTTATTTAATAAATGTAATAACTTAAATTGCGTAAAAAATGTATTATTATTTTTTTTTATAATAGTCATTACAAAGACCTCTACTTGGCCACTTTTTGAACTCTTTTATAAAGCATGTGTTATATGCGAACGGTATTCTTAAGTTCAGAGTACACTTAATTCGTTAGCTAGGAGCTTATTACGTTTTTTAGATATTGTGAATAAGAAATGTATATAGTTCTTATAGTAAAAAATTACAAAAGTTTTGACGAGACAAAAACAAAGAAAAAAAGCGAAAAACGTCAAAAATATAAGAAACAAGTATCTAAACCTGTCTTGGAGCATTAATAAAAAATGTCAATGAGACAATTTTATCTAAGGTAATTACCGAGAATAAATACGTCTACCTATCATCGCGTTGTTCCACAAATTCTAAGTGATGATGAGAATGGTAACGATAACGATGACGATAACGATGACGATAATAGTGACGATAATCGCAACGTTGGTGATGACGGGAGTAATGCCATAGTATAGGGAAAAGAAAGCAATCATGTCAGAATAGAAACAAAGATAATTTAGAATAACTTACCTTAGCCTTGAAGTCCAAAATGTTATAAAAAGAGCTATAATATCTCCTTTGTAATAGAAAGCTCCTTCGAATCATAGTAATAAAATTAATAAAAGAACTTCTTAATTAAATTATACATACAATCTTAATTAAATAAAAACACTAAATCGATTCTTGATAACTATAATAAAAATATTAATAAAAACATAAACGAAATTTAAATACTAAACCTTATTGAATCACCAATATCACGCCTCTGGCGATAAGCTTTAATCACAGAAATCGACTTATCCGCCTGTAACAACATAATTTTATTTTCATTCTTTGCTGATTTAAGTACTATATAAAAGCATTTTCTTAATCTTCAGAATTTCCACTTTCTGCTGATTTCAAATACTAATTAAAAGCTTCTCATTCATCCTTTTCTGTCTCAACTCCATCTCGATAACATTATCTGAAATTAAATTGTCCTTCAGCACTTTCACTTTTTACCAAATCTGAATACCAATTAAAAGCTTCCTTTTCGTCCTTTTTCTAATTCTGTAATGATAGCAATACCCGAGATTAAATTTTCCTGTAGTATCTCTATTCTTTGCAGATTTAAGATTCTAATTAAATGTTTCCTTTTTATCTTATATGTTTCGATTCTAAGTTGATAACAAAATCCAAGAATAAGTTGTCCTTAAGTATATCCATTCACAGCGGATTTCAGATAACAAAATCCAAGGTTAAATTGCCTTTTAGCATTTTCATTCTTCGCAAATTTCAAAAATCATTTAAATGCTTCTTTCTTGTTCAAATTCCATAAGTTGTGTTACAGAATTTCTACTTTTTGCCAACATTAAATAACAATTAAAAGCTTCCTTTTCATTCTTATATGCCCAATTCAATTTTGATAATAGAATCAGAGATTAAGCTACCCACTGTCATTTACATTCTCAGCAGATTTCAAATATCATTTGAATCATTCTTATCGGTTCCGAGTTCATAATGATATTAAATTGGCTATTAACATTTCCGTTCAAATCCTATTTTGATAACTAGAATTCAAGGTTATATTATCCGTTAATATTTCTGTTTTCAGCAGATCTCAAGTACTATTTAAACGCTTCTTTATCATCTTTATCTGTTCCAATTCCATTTTTATAATAGAATCCAAGATTATATTGCCCCTAATGTCTCCATTCTCAGTAGATTTAAATACCATTGGAACGCCTCCTTCTCATTTTAGTCTATTCGAATTCTATTTTGATAATAGAATCCAAAATTATATATTGTCCTCCAGTATTTCCGTTTTCAGCAGATTTTAGTTGGGTGTAAGCAGTGTTTAAAATCTATATGCGGAATCTGCGGAGCGCAGATTAAAATTGGTTCCGCAAAAATATTATTTCAAGCATATGAGGATTCGGCATAAGAAAAAATTTTTTACTCAAAATAATTTATTAAGAAGAAAAAAAATCGAACCCGCAACTTTTCATATAAATTCCGCAACTTTTATTAAAATGAAATATTTAATCCGCATGCAATTTTAAAATTCAATTTTAAACACTGGGTGTAAGACTCTATATAATTTACAAACATAGTGCAGCACTATATGATTGGCGCACTAAGTAAGATTTTTGATCATTTTTTTGAAAAAATTTACATAGTAATTTTATTATAAAATCGGTGCATTTTTAAAATGTTCTAACTATTGTTCTAATAAAGAAAATCTAATTCTGTAATTTGTAAATGGTATATTGATAGCATAGCTTTAAATCTATGTGAAGATATTTTCTAATTTATTGTATTAATTTATCTAAAATTATAAATAAATAAATTTTCATAGTAAAACATTCGTTATTTGTATGTTTAAACTACAGAGATCTCTAAAATTCACATATTAATCTAACATATGGCCATATAGATTTAAAATTATGCTATTTTATTATCATTTTCAAGTTGTAGAATTAAATTTGCTTTGCTAGAACGAGAGTTGGGACATTTTAAAAGTCGAATTTTCTTATGCTCTATAACAATTCCAAGATCATGTGATAAACTCTGAGCATTCGCTTCGAAATATGTGTGCGCCAAGTCTTATTTAAAGTTAAATAATTGATTTTTTAATAGATTTTTTAATATAATTGCAATAATTCTTATAAAACTTAATAAAGAATAACGATAAATGATCAGTTATAACGTCCTAAAGATCTATCCGGAGATTGTTAAATTTCCCATTATAAAATCCTAACAATTTGATTTTATCTTAGCAGATTTTAAGTACCAACTGAACGTCTCCTTTTCATTCTTGTTCGTCCCAAACCACTTCGATAATAGGATCCAAGATTAAATTATGCTTTAGCATTGACATTTTCCGTGGATTTTACGAACCAACTGAATGTCTCCTTCTCATTCTTGCCCGTCCCAATTCCATTATATTGCCCTTTAATGTGTGTCTACTCTCTGCAGATTTCAAAAACAGATTGAATGTTTCTTTCACATTCTTTATTTGCCCCCAATTCTGTTCATATTACGCATTCCAAGATTAAATTGTTATTCAGCATGACAGCCTTTCACAAACTTCAAACGTAAATTAAATTCTTCTGTTTTATTATTATCTGAAAAAATAAATATAATATTTTTTAAATGATATAATTGTTATGAACAATCTAGAAATTATAATTTATAAAAAGAAGTACCATAAACTTATAATTTAGCGCCGCCAAGAGAAGACTAAGAAATTTCAAAGATGTAAATTTACCTTGGCATCACTCATTTGTATAATAAATGAGTTAAATTGATTTTGCCATTGATTCTTTTTTCATAGTCAATAATGCGTAACTATAAATCTATACTATCCTCTAGTCAATAAATGTTTAACGAATATAAAACATGAAGATAAAAAATTTGTTTTAGAACTTGAAACTTAAAATAAAGATCGATCTTTGTATTTATAGGTTTCGTGCAACATTCATTGTTTCCATACATGTTATTAGTTAATTGGACATTAAAGAACGTTTAATTTTCCTGAATGATCTTTTTTGTTTTATTTAGTTGTACAGAAAAACGTTTGTTTTAGTAGTATTGTTTTTTTTCATTATACTTCCTGTTTTATAATAATTGCATTTATTACTTTATTTAGGGGATCGCTAAGGCGGAGGAATACCACTTATTTAATTAAAATTAGGGTTAGGGCCAGTTTAGATTTAGGGTAAGGGTGATATTATATGTAAAATTTCCTTCTCGACATTTTTTACTAGTACTCCAAAGTAGGTTTAAACATTCGTTTTTTCGTATTATTAATATTTGTACTTTTTTTTTGTCATTTTTTCTGTCCAATGCATGTAAATCACTCATGAAATTACCCCTTATTTAGTTATCGTAATAATTTATAAAGCTATACCAAATTCAATTCATTGGCATTTTTGTGCTACATTGCTGATTTACGTATAAAATGTATAAATACTTTCAGTTTTTCACTTTCGGTTCATCACAAGTTGTTTGTAAATTATCATGTCTACTTCGTCTGATTCAGATAATTCTGACAACGCGCCTCCTTTATCCATCGCTGAAAGGATAAAACTTTTGCAAAATCATGGATTTTCTAAAAAACTTAATATAAACAATACAAACAGTAAGACGTCCAAAACTAATGTTGATTCTGCTCCCAAATCAACTGATTTTCCGCAAGCACCCTCTACATATAACCATCCTATATCAAATCAACAGAGTTCCTCATCTGATTTGTTAATTACCCCTGATAACTCTGTTTCAACACAAAAGAAAATATCAAAGCAACAGAGTTCATCACCTGATTTGTTAATTAACCCTGATAATTCTGTTTCAGCACAAAAGAAATCTCCTCTATTAGAAAACTTTCCTATTTCTGACAGAATAGAGGCTTATCTATTACGAGATCTATTGAATGAGACCAAAAATCCTCCTCGTATATTGGTATTGGATATTAGATTAAGAGAAGAATTCGAAAAAGGACATATAAAAACAAAAAATATTGTATGCTTGGATCCATCCCTTTTAAAGAATGAGTATGTTGAAAAAAAAAAAAAATTTACATTCGACATTTCATCTAAATTCTTCTTTTGATAAGTAAATCGAAAATTTTTCATATCATCAATTAGGGTATCTTCGGTAGACATTGAATTAAATTTAAAAGATTGCCCTGAACATGAGCAAAAACTTTTTGCTGAACGACATACTTTTGATCTAGTTATATATCATGGCTACGATTACGATTCTGATTTAATTCCTGGTTCTATACCTTATCATAAAAACTCTGCCGATAATTTAGTTCAAGCAATTTTTGAAAACGAATTTGAGAAGCCATTAAAAAGATATCCTGTATTCTTGGTTGGAGGTTTTAATGCATGGGAACGATTGACGAGCGAAGCCGGTCATGTTAATAACGCTCAATCGAATCAAGTTAATACCGGTATTTATGATAAGACAGAAATGGATAAATTCATTATGCAAGATGGAATTAGCAAACATGATAAAGAAATTTTCGAAAAACATTCCTTCAGGTTTACACAATGTGTTTATTTACATTCTTTATAATCGCATGAAAATCTGATTATTAAAAACAAAGTATTCTTTGATGGTATCGTATAATATGAAAGATTATTTATACTAACAATAGAATACAATAGAGTATCAAAAGAACTACCAAAAAATACTTATTTATTAGATTCATGCAATTATATAAAGAATATTGTTGATTATGTATATATTCATTATTTAATTATATGTTTTATTTCAATTTAAGACCGATAACTTCTCAAATTCATGATCCTGCTAAAAGAACCGGAAAATTTGGCAATATTAATTATGATCGTACATCTATTGTGCTAAACACTTTAGATTTTGTAAGTAATTGTAAAATGAATTTAATGAATTTCTCTTAACGATTTCTATGTTAGTTTTATTATAATTTTTTTTTTTTTTTTGATACTTAGTATCTCCAACCTAATGATCCAGAATCACAGTTTATGTCAGCAAACTTTCGTTCAGCAAGTCCGGACAAATTATCTAATGATTTAATAAATAATAATCCAATGCCAAATCTAAAAATGGCTGCTCCAAATAAGCCGCTTCCACGACCAATTCCCAATTTCCCTGATACCGGTATTTCATCAAATTCTAATGACCCGCCAGTTACTTTGTCAGGAAGTCGCTTGCAACGTCGTAAGACCATATTTGATCACCCATACCATGGATTTAGCGAGGTAAAAAATCCTGATTATCATTCAATAAAACGTCCCCCTCCACCGAAAAAACCGTTACCACAGATACCATATGAGAAAAAACCTATACTACCTATTACTGTTGATCCGAATTCTGTTCAAGTGGGTGTAAATGGCCCTAAATATACCCATACTTCAGAGAGTAGCTTTTCTCAATTGGATTCAGGCATTGGTACTACCGGTTTGAGAAATCTAGGTAATACTTGTTTTATGAATTCGATTATCCAATGTTTAAGCGGTACATTACCATTTGCAAGGTACTTTTTGGATGGTAGTTTTAAAAGGCATATAAATAGAGACAACCCTTTAGGTACTAAGGGTGTCTTGGCTGATAAATTTGCTACCTTGATAAGAGTGATGTGGAGTGATCAATATGTATCTGTCTCTCCTGTTTCTTTTAAAGAAGCAATTGGGTGTTTTGCTCCTCAATTCTCTGGGTCTGAACAACAAGATTCTCAAGAACTCTTAGCTTATTTGTTAGATGGTTTACATGAAGATTTAAATATAAATTCCCATAATTCAATATTTAATAATTCGACTTTTCTAAATACTGATGAAATTGAGGACTTGCCTCTCCATGTAGCTTCTGATTTAGCTTGGGAGAAACATTTGATGCGTAATTCTTCTATCGTAGTTAGCTTATTCCAAGGTCAATTTTGCAATCGATTGATGTGTATGACTTGCGGAAAGACTTCCACAACATTTGACGTATTTATGTACCTTTCGTTACCTTTACCTACAAATAGTAAAAACAAGGTGCCTATAGATTTAGAAACATGTCTTAAAAGTTTCATAAAAGAGGAAATATTAGATGGAAATGATGCTTGGAATTGCCCTAGATGTAATTGTCCTAGACGCGCAGTAAAACAACTATCAATCTCACGATTACCCGATATATTATTAATTCATCTTAAAAGGTTTTCTTTTTATGGTCCTTTTAGAGATAAGCTTGAAACAATGGTTCATTTTCCTATTAGACGGTTAGATTTAACCTCATATGTACTACCTAATTCTGCCTCTGGTGATGGAGGTTCGCGTTCAAATTTACAGCAAATAGGTCCTTTTGTATATGACTTATATGCTATATCAAACCATTATGGTGGGTTAAGTGGTGGTCATTATACTGCATGCGTAAGAAATGGCTATAAAAATGAATGGCATAAGTTTGATGATAGTCGTGCATCTGTATGTGATGAACGAGATATTGTGGTATGTATAATATATCATGCTTTTTTTATTGTATATAAATGTAATGATTTTTTACTTTTAATTGATTATTTTTTCATTTTGCCTTTAAAGACTCGTGCTGCTTATAATTTATTCTATGTACGAACTACCATATAAATATCTATATTTCTGTATTTGTACATTATGTATATTCGGATTATATTAAAAAGATTATAGTATATTGATAATAATAATCGATGGAATATTATTAAAAATGCTTGATTAGTTACTTCAACAATTAGACTTTCATATTCTTGTTTCATATCATAATATTCAAAATTTATATTTTATTATATTTTATCATATACAAAAATTAATTTAAAATAAATAACTTAACATTCAACCATCACAAATTTTTAGAAAATAAATTATTGTTTTCGAGTTTTATATACATATATAATATAAATTGAGCAGTATAATATACTTAGTTAATATAAATTATATAGAGTTGGATTTTCTAGTTATTAAAAACAATTTACTAAAATGAACACAAACATGACATGTCAAAGTTGTATTTAAAAATAAAAATAGTTTGTAAATAGTTAATAATGCGTTATTTTAACTCGAAATATATTTTTGATTTTTTTGCTAGGAACGAGTGTAACGAAGTGTATGGTATTATACTCACAACTAATTAAAATAAGTTAGAGTTCCGATCCATTATCCGTTTATCCATTTATCTATCGGATATCCAGATCTGAATTTATTCGGGTATCCGTTTTACTATTGATATCTGGATAATTATCCGAATATTTGTCGGATTATCCGGATACCAATAGTAAATAGATATCTGGATAAATTCAGATATGGATAAATGAATGGCGAATTTATCCGGATTGGAACTCTACTATAAATAGTTAAAACTATTACAGTAGATTTAGTTCAGTTTATATAGAAAATGCAAAGTTAAAAATTGACCCGTAGTTTGATGTCAACTCAGCTTATACATGGGGGTCGAAATTAGGGTTGATTTTCGACAGACGGTCTGGCGAAATTTTTTGGGTATTTTCGCCATGATGTTTCAAAACGTCATTGCCGAAATTTTTTTGATTGTCTATATTATTATAGACTGCCTATATTATTATTGCTGTTTATATTATTATTGGCTGCCAATATTATTATAGATGTCGATATTATCTTCGATACTATTAAAATTTTCATTTATCTGTACGCTTTTTGAAATATGATTGGCCGATTTACAGTATAGTACCCGAATAACTTAATGATAAAATATCCCGTGGCTCCTAACTACACTATTAAAATGTTTAGTGTATGTCCGCTTTTTGTTAATTTTGGGCGACTAATAACAAGATTTTACTAAAACACCTATTTTGTTTTACATCTATAGATGCGATATTTAAAAAATTGGTAAATTAACTAACTTTTCTCATAATTAAATGTAGTAAAATAAATGGGCGCAAAACTAATTATTGGTATATTTTATACAGTATCTTTGATCTGTTCGGTTTATAGATTTAAGATATAATCTAAAGATTAATATTCACTAAAACTATCATCTTCGGTAAAGTTTTCAAGTTAATAATACGTATGGGAGTTAATAAAAAAACAATTCATATAATAATAACTATAAATTATTTGATGAGGACGATACAAGAAATCCCCGAAAGAAAATAAATTTACCGGATCGACATTTTAGCACAGTTCCTACGATGCTTTTGTGATCGCGTGATGGGTCCTAAAATATCGAACCAATCACAATAATTTGACCAATCATAAAGTAGACTATAAACATGAACCAAAGAATATTTGGAGGAAATTGGTGATGTATGTAATTCTGAGCGAAGCTTCTAGAAAAATAGGCTAGAAAATATGGTAATCGCAATGAAAATTAGTTGAAGAACGTAACGCAGGAGTTTGTTAAGGGTGTTCTCAAGTAACTTCCTAAATATGATTTGGATAGTGATTCGAGATCGTACACAAGAATTACAAATAATTCTTATAGCACTTTTGCGGAAGATTCGTGGTGCGAAATGTGGATATTAAGAGTGTTCTCAAGCAGCTCCTTCGATGTTGTTCAATCATTGACATTAATTGAAGTTGTTATTTCAATTAAATGCTGAGAATTTCATTGTGCGACTACGTATTTTAAATTTTAGTCAATCAGTAATAACTTTCTTGATCAGTTTATTCGAATTCCAACTAACGAATTTTCATTGCTCATTTAATCAGCTAAATTATTTTCCACTAATTAAAAACTCTGATTTAAAACACTTATATGAGGTGGGCATAGAGCTTGTACCCGCCTAAAAATTTATGCTCCGGTTTACTCACCCGTTATGTCAGTATTAGCCGGGTCACAACCAGGGTTACTTCAAATTATTCGAGATAACCCGGTAAACCGGTTGACCCGTTAATTTATGTTATTTATGTCCTTTTTCGGAATATTCCCCCGAAATTTTATGACCTTGCTCGTCTTTTAACGTTCATTGATATTCTACTTTGTAACTTTTCAGAGTCCCTATCTCTCACCATTCTTATTTAACCAGATACCGGATCAACCGGTTAAGCATAATTTATTCCGGGATATTGACAAAATAACGGTTCCCTGGTTGTCGGATAAACGGGTACAAGCTCTAGGTGGGCACGACTATAAATTCCATAATTTCGACCAAATAACTATAATCACGCCTTTGGCTAGAAGCCTTAAAAGATATGTGCTAATATCCATTTACTATATACTATCACTTCTCCTCACCTTAAAATAATATATAATATATATATTATATATATCAATATGTCGAGAGGTCAATAGCCTGAAAATTAAAGCCCGGAAAAAAAAAAAATTCACAGTAGTTTATAATACCTAAACAGTGAAATCCCGACAATTAATAATCCAGACATTGATAGATAGAAATTTGCTTTAGTGTTAGTGTTAGGATTATTGGGATTATAAATTACCGGGATTTAGATCTGTCGGAATGCTGTATCTCGGGATTTTTTGAACCAGACCCATTAAATATTCTGACCTAAGATTTTAGTGGACCTTCAAAGATATTATCTAATAAATTTCATTTCCCTAAAGTATACCTTGAATATTCCAAGTAACATATTAACGATTCTATACCCTTGCATCAATAAAATAGATGAAGATTTTATCTATACAGATAAAACAATAATCAATAAAAAGGGGTCATGTTTACGATATTTAAAAAGGTTTGTTTTGTGTTCTAAAAAAGGTAATTATCATTTCAACCTATATAAAATTACTAATTTGTTTATCTTTTCAAAATCATATATTGTAAATAAAATGAATTACCGAATAAAGTTGAGATTACACGATTACGTATACTTATACAGTTACCAGTAAAGTATAATAAGATATTACGTATCAAAATTTCTAAATTCATATCATTACCTTTAGTGTAATGCTAATAAGGGATTGTTTTTTAAAAGATTCAATTGTTAGATTACACGTTAC